CATCCATCAAGATCATATATTTTCAAGTGCCAACAAGAGTGAAATGACTTTGGCAAATTTCAAGCAAATTGCTCTTTTTTTTTTTATTTTCAGTTGAAGTACATGCCCTTAAAATTCCTCCTGGAGTGCATCCAAATTGCAAAAGAAAACAAAGCTGAAAACTAAATATCTGAGGGAATAAGCCTGGTTCTTAGATGGTTATCAATTTTTTATCCAATTTTATATAATTAACATTATTCTTAAAGTTCTATGATGTCATATCCCAATAGTGGTATGATTTTTAAAAGATCAATTCAGGGGATACAAAATATGGCCAAGACATTTCTAATTAATAATAAATCATTGCTGCCATCAAAGAGGTAGGGAATTAACAAAGTCTGAGAGAGTGAGGGTATTTGGCAACAGCAACTTTTGAAAGGCTAGAGTTAAATGGAGACTTAGAAAGAAAAAATATCCCATTTGATGGCCAAAGCTAACAGGACTTTGTAGTTTAAATGTTCAGACATTTATGGTGCTGTGCTCATACGGGCAGCTGATGTCAATTCTGGGAACTGGCATAGAGGGCAGTGGAACGGAGCAGAGTTGATGAATTACACAGAAAGGGCAGCCCATTTTCAGATTTCTTTCAAAACACAGGAAGGGAGAAGCAAGGGCTAAAAAAGCAATTGAAAATTCCAGGCCAGAACTTGACTTTTAAAATATTAAAATTGTAGTAGGAAGAAATTAAAACTGCTGTCCAGTCTGTGATGTTTCCCATTCATCTTTCATGGAGGATGAAAATCACCATTGTATTTTAAATTCTCTCTTTCTTATTAACTGTTAGAAGCAATTTGTGTTAGAATGACTGACCTGAAGTGGAACTTCTCAAAGCGTATGTCAAAGGAACAGAGTGGTATTAAAAGTGGATAAGCCTTTCAAACATCATTAAAACAGACACGGTCAGCCCAGATACCTAAGAGACATCCGCCACGGAAACATGCCCACCGTCCACATCTCCCTGAAAGTGATTCGCTCCCAGGCCCCTCAGAAAATGCGAGCTGATGACACTAATCTTCAGCCTTGTATCGGTCTGTTTTCCCGGCCACAAGTCATCATCACCAGAGAAAAGGGCCAGCATTTGGGAGAGTTTTCAAAGACTGTGTGACTAAGCTAAGGAATTTTAAAGAGGAATTTTTCTAAGTCCCAAAGGGAAACAGTGTCCCCTTTATCTTAGTAATGCAGACACGATGCTTGTTCCATGGTGGGGACACCAAGAATGAATTCAATGAATTCCCTCTTTGTATCACACATTTATACCAGTTCCTTCTTAGGAATCAGGATTTTTAATAGGAAAAGCTTTGGCTTTCCTAGACATCACAGTAACTTCATGTAGAGTAGGTAATACAGAGAGATCGCTGCTGCATTTTGAAAATGCATATACTTCACCATCTTTACAAAGTTCTAAGAGGTGGAGTCATACGGTCCTGTTATGTGGGACCTGATCAAGAATGACATGTACATTAATAGGGAATAACAGGGATGACACTGGCTCTCTTTAAACCTATGGTTAGGTAACTCTCCCAGTTAAGGAATGTATACCTTCTATTCTCTTTTAACCTGATTCTTTTCCTTTTCTAGGAAACATGGTCTTTTTCAAAGTACACCCATCATCTCCTTAGAGGATCTCTACATGTCTTTCTGTCTTTGCTGACTCAACACATAAATACATGGCTGTTCTAATCTCTAGCAGTAGTTTAGAGTAGAATAAGTGGCATAAAATGATTTTTAAGAAAAAACTTACATACCCTTTTCTTCTTTCCTCTTGGACTTCTTGGCAGAGGAATTTTCTTAAATGCTCCAATTCACTGGGTGAGTTTGGGCAAAAGGAAAAGAGAGGAGGTGCTCGAAGGCGGCTCTTTACAAATACACCTCTGTCTGCCTTGTCTCTTGCCCAGACAGGCAGCCTGGCTGCTCCCGCGGGGCCAGTGGGGAAGGGAGGGCGGGAGGGCCGGGCTCGCGAGGACTGCCTCCCTGGGGTTCTTCCAGACCAGGTGAGGACAGACTGACCAGCTTCTGTACAGAGGGAAATCACTGGGCTACACAGGAGCCTCGGGCAGGCAGACTTGGAGCAATTAAATATAAAACCCGAGGGACTTAAAAAGAACACAGAGAGAGTGATTTTTACCCTAAGATAAATATGTGTGTGTGAGGGAGAGAGACAGAGACAGATGGGGGGAGAGAGGGAGGGAAGGAGGGGAGAGGTGGCTGGTGCGGTCTGGGGAAGCTGGGTGCCTCTTCCTCTTTCACTGCTTCTTTGTGGGGTTTTTTTTTTTAATCACCAAGTTTTCCTCACCATCTAGATCTCTTATTATAACATTTTGGTTAAGGTGTATTCCAACTCCTCAGCTCCCCCCCCCCAGAGAGTCATTACCAGTCAATGGAAGCAAAAAATAAAATTACTGAAAAGGAAATTGATTCTGTGTCTCAGAAATAAAGGCACAAAAGGAATTTCAGTCTGTCTCAAGCAAACTATTGGAAGTGTGGCATCTGTTAATTATCCTTCAGCTGTTGTCTGTTTTGATCTGACTCGAATCAGTGCTTCTGGAGTTGGAAATAGGGAATAGTAATTATCTAGATGGGGAACAGAGCGAAGGGCATTCTAGGTTGTATTAACAAAGTCATAAAGGCAAAAGAGAGTGTAGTTTTGGGGGTTACAGTGGTTTTGTGTGGCTAGGGATGAGTAGAGATAAACTTAGAGGGACAGAAAGGTGAAGCACCTCCTATGCTGGGCTAAGCATTTTGGATTTTATCCTGAAGGTGAATGGAAAGATGATGAACAGTATTATAAAGGATGAATGCCTGTAGTGTGTGTGAAAGAAGGGTGGCAGGGGACGACAGAGACTAGAGACAGGGAGAAGAGCGGCTCCTGCAATACTCCCCTAGCGGCAGCTGTTTTAGGAGAGCCATCCGGGCACTCCCCGGTGTGGAGACAGCAGAGCAAAGAGAAGACTGACATCCCCAGGAGCAGTGCCCGGCCCTGGGAGATCAGCCTCTGGTCTCCACCTTATTGCAGCTGCAGCAAGCGGCCTGGGACTTGTGTGCAATAGACTGCACATTTCCTTTGCATGTTTATACATAAGCTTCCTGTCATGCTTATTGATTATGCCACAGATAGGGTTAATTTGTTTGTATGACTTAAATGTGTAGAGATATGTGCATATGAGGAGGAAAATGGAAACTATCCATCCTTCGCTTCCTACTAGAGGCTGTCCGCTTCGCTTAGCCCACCTCAGTCAAGACCAGACACGGCGCCCACACATTGATTTTCCTGTGAACAGAATCTCTCTTTCCTCTGTGTTTTCCTCTTATTTCCTGGTGTGTCTAATTCTTTTTTATTTCCTTTATTGCATTTCTCATTTTGTTTCCTTATATGTAATCCATAGCTGTTCAAAATAGTTGATTCATTTTCATATTCAGCGATATTCAAATCCACACGATATGCCTGGCGTGTTGCTTGCACGCCTGCCTCGGGTGTGCAGAGCAGCTCTTAGGTGACTGCCGCTACCTCTGGATCAGCTGCTAATCTCTTAGGAAAGGACACCCCCCCTCCCCCGCCCCAAGAAAAGCACATCTGGATCTTGGCTTCCTAGTCCCTTCTTGTGTCTCAGATATCTTCTTACTACCAGTGGAACTTCACATCATCTCTAGGGAGAATTACTGAGCATTGTTAAATTTAAAAACATGAGCTACTATTCATCCTGATGTCCGTTACATGGAGCTGCCCACTGGGGAAGCAGTTGAATTGTAAACAAAGGCCTGCTCGAGAGGCTGCCTTTGTGACTTTTAATTTGGGGCTTAAATCTGAAAACATTCTTTGTTTTCTTGTGTATGGGCACCTAAGGCATTTAGTTTTGCTTCGTTTTCCCGCTGACACCCTGTTACTGAAATTTGGTTGACTCCTAGATTATTTCGCTCTGGAGGCCATCGGTCTTTTTGAGAGGGCCTCTGGAGCCTACCAAAGTAAGCCTTTTATGTGTGATAGGTAAGGCCATTCAGATATATTGTCCATACTTCCAGAAAATATGGCTGGCTATATTTTTATATGATATTTATGATATATGTATGTGTATGTGTGTTTTATTTATATAGGTATATGCTATCACTGTTACGTCCAACCAAGTTTACAACAAACAGTCACTACAAATTAGTGACAGAGCCAATTCATGAGTAGAGAAGCATTTGAAATGGAACTTAAGCAATTATGTTAAAAGTATTGGTATTATAATGGAATATTACTCATCCATAAAAAAGAGTGAAATATTGCCATTTGTGATGACCTGGATGGACCTAGAGGGTACTACGCTCAGTGAAATAAGTCAGACAGAGAAAGACAAATAATATGATCCCTCCTAATGTGGAATCTAAAAAATAAAGCAAACAAAACAGAAACAGATTCATAAATACAGAGAACAGACTGGTGGTTACCACAGGGGATCATGGGTTGGGGGTGATGGGTGAAATAGGGGATAAAGAGGGACAAACATCCAATTATAAAACAAATGAGTCATGGGGATTAAAAGTACAGCATAGGAACAATAGTTAATAATGTTATAATATATTTGTTGACAGCTTATCATGGCGAGCATTTAGTAATGTAGATAATTGTCAAATCACTATGTTGTATGCTTGAAGCCAATATAATATTACATATCAACTATTTTCAATTAACAAAAATGTCCAGAAATCCTTGAAAAAAAATACTGGTATTAAATTTGAAAAAAGTTGATTAGTATTTCCTAAAAAACCAATAAGCAATAATGATGACATTCTCCCAGTCAGAGGAAGTCCTAAGAGATATCTTAGATAGAAATAACTTTAGACAGCAGACATCTTAAGCTTGTGGAAAAAATGGGAACGCACGAACCTTCCTCTGATTTCCTTCTGGGAGCTCATGCCTGTGCCCTGGTAGAACCTGCTGCCCCTCTGTCCTACAGTTGACCCCTGTCTCTCGTTTCCCTCAGGCTTAACTCCTTCTGGCGTCACCCAGCGTGGCAGTGTGGGGAGAAGCGGCCGCTGACGTCAACCTTCACAGGCCCTCCCAGGCGAGAGGTAGGGTCTGTCTCATGTGAGAATCCTTGACAAAAGGAGTTCCAAGATATTTTTGCCAGTCGGAAACTAATTCACAGGGTGTTTGTTGGACTAAGAATGACTACAACACAGTTACCCTTTAAAATTCCCCTAAAATCTTTAAGCAGTTAAAAAGAAACAACTCGTTTTCTGAACTTAATTTTCTGAGCTCAGTAAAAGAGTATTCTTTCTGATTAAAACTATTTCAAGTTTCCCTTAAGATTTCCTCTGGACATGGAACACTTGTGCTTAGAAAAGTGTTTGCCAATGGGTTAAAGAAGATCACCTCTGTCACCCAGACGTGGCTGTCTGCCACTGAAGCAGCCTATGAAGACAGTGCCCACCGAGGAGTCTCAGGCGGGGCCCGTATGGAGACAGCAGACCTGCCAAGGAGCTGTGTGAAGGCACTGAGCTGACGCCGCCTCGGCCACGTGGGCAGAACTGCGGCCAAAAGGCGGTCGGTAGGAGTGCAGCTCCAAAGGCTGGGAACCGCTAGGACCCCTGGGCAGGTAGCCGAGGCCATAGGGGGCTCACGGGGGGTCTTGCTCAGGACCTCTTAGTCAGAATAGCAAGCACAAGACCCCTTTTGTCTGGCACAGCGAGGGAGGCACCCACGGGGAGGGCTGGGCTTTTTCACCGTGTGGATGCACAGAGCTTTTGAACACCCCGAGTTAAGTGACCTTTAAATAGGATAGAAATAAAGTCAGAAAAATGAACATCAGGAGAGAGGCGTGTCAAGGAGAACTATCTAGTTTTAGGAGCCTATGCAATATTAAGAATGAATAATGTTAATGTGAAAATAAACTTTGGCAGGAAAAGAGACCAGAAGGCAAGGAACTTGAAAATAACCCCTCTAGTTTCCTGGCAGTCTAAAAGAGGAATTGGACTGACAGTAAATAGAGTCACAGCCCAGATCCCAGCAAGTTTTGTGATTTGTTGGAAATGACCTACTTATCAAACTAGAAAATTGAAAGATTGCTTCCATGGGCTGACGTGTGTTTTTTTGTAGATCTGAGTCACTGCCCTGAGTAGGTACGAGCATCTGGCCAGTTGGTAACGGCAACAATAACAATGGTACTAGTAATAATAATGTCATTGCTGAGTAATGAACACTTTAGAAATGTTGGCTTATTTAATCCAAGCAACATAGTTTTACGAGGTAGTTTTTCAAGTGGGGGAACTGAGGCTCGAAAAGATTAGGGAACTTGGCCAGGATCACACAGCTGGTGAACAGTGGAGCTGAGACTGGGAAGCAAGACAAAGCCCTCGTAGCTGAGAGTCGTTTCTCCCTCCTGAGTCGGGAGAATCTAAAATGACAATACTGTTCCGAAGGTCACAGCCCATAACTAAGCGTAAAGGAACCACACGCACACTCTCTGTGCCTCATGGAGCCATCTTCTTAATGTGCCTCCTCAATCTATTTCCTGTTAATACTTGGCTTGAAACAATTCTTCCCTGGATATTTATACATTTGAATCAGCTAAAGAGAGTTTCCAACAGACTCAGATAAGGAAAATTGCCGGAGTGCCAGTCTTTCAGAGAGAGTTTCTAACTGATTATAATTCTAAGAGTAAAACTGCAGTGCCAGACACACAGTAAATATTTGTTAAATGAATGAATGAATGAATAAATCAGTGAGTGAATAGATGAAGTACCTGGCAATTATTCACCAGCCTATCATGGGTCATGTGTGTGGGACATTGCCGGTGTGCTATGGTAGATGCTGTAGTGTCCCTGAGGACCACGCTCATCACTGAGTCACCGCTGTTTTCTCAAGACCCTTTGTAAAGTGCGGGCTACTCAATCGTACGATAAAGTCTGTTTTCTCCCTTGTAAAATAGAGTGCGATTGATGATATTTATGAACCCCTCCATTTCCCACTTTAAATGATGTGTGATTCTCAATATTTAAAAAAAAATAAACCTTTTCATTTTAGAATAGTTTTAGATGTACAGAAAAATTTCTAACAGTACAGAAACTTCCTATCTACCCTACACCCGTTTCCTCTATTACTTAATATATTACATCACTGTGGTACACTTGTTACAGTTAATATGTCAATATCAATACATGACGATTGGCCGAAGTCCATGCTTTATGTTTTCTCTTAGTTTTTACCTCAAGCCCTTTTTCTGTTGCAGGGTCCCCTCCAGGACACCACATTCCATTCACCTGTCATGTCTCCTTGGCCGCTTTTGGCTGTGACAATTCTTAGACTTCCCTATTTCTCATGACCTTGCTACTTTGAGGATGACTGGCTGGCTGCTTGTAGAATGTCCCTCCATTGAGATTTGTCTAATGATTACCTTAGGACTACACTCAGGTTGTGTGTTTTGGGAAGAAGCCCACAGGCTTCGAGTGCCATTTTCACCCCGTCCTGTCAGGAGCACGTGCTCTGAACATGACTTAGCACTGTTGCTCTTAGCCGTGACCACCTGGCTGGGGTCACTGCCTTTCTCCGGGTTCTCCACGCTCGGGCCACGTCTTTCCTTGCCCTTTCTGCACTGCACCCAGGGGCAGGAAGTCACTATGCACCCCCGACACCTAGCGGCGTGGGGTTAGGCTCCGCCTCCTGGAAGGCAGAGCATCTCCGTGAATGACCTGGAATTCTTCTGCATGTGACATTTGTCTGTTCTCCCTCATTTTATCTATATCAGTAAGAAAGCATGGTTTTTGGGGGGGAGAGGAGGTTGTACTTTGGATAATCCAATGCTACTTTAAAAATGTTTTTTGTCACATCCCAGCTCTGGCCGCTGGGGTCTCTCTGAGCTGTCTCCCGTATCCTTTTGATAGGTTCCCCTCACAGGTGTTCGGGTTTTTTTCCCCCAACACGTTTTTACTTTGCTGCAGTACAAGATGCTCCAGGCATCTTTTGCATGTTTCTGCCCCAGTCCTTGAATGAACCATTTCCCCAAGGGACCTTGGTTCCTTTTATTGAAGAGTTGGTTGGAAACCAAGGTCCAGGCACACTGCAACTAGTGTGTCCTGTAACCTCTAGCCCTTCTCAGCTGACAGAGTAAGGAACTACGCATGTGTGTGCTCTGTACACGTGCACGTACCTGCGCATTGTATCTATGTCAGGCTAACAAGAGTTGTACCATTGTCTCCTTATCTAACCATTACTGCCTGAAAGGTTCCAGCCTCCTCCCCTTGTGACCGGCCACCTCCCCCTCCACCAGTGAGAAGCCTGTCTCCCACCAGCAGCCATTTATTTAGTTGTTCAATGCCAGTATACACACAGAGCAGTATCAGAATTGTTAGCCCTGCAGTAAATTATTTTATCAACCACAGCACAGCGTCTTCGGCTTCCGTTTTAAGGACCCCATTTCCAAAGTTACTTAGGTCAGCACCTTCCCTCCACCACACCCTTCAGTGAGCTTGTTCCATACATTTGTAAAGCAGTTGGGTTGTTTTGTCAACTTCTGAATTCTGTCCTGGAGTACCCCAACTTCTTACTTTTTTTTTTAAAGTATCAGTGATATACAATCTTATAAAGGTTTCACATGACCAACATTGTGGTTTCAACATTCACCCATATTATCAGTCCCCCCCACACCCCACTGCAGCCACTGTCCATCAGCATAGTAAGATGCTACAGAGTCATTACTTGTATTCTCCGTGCTGTACTGCCTTCCCTGTGACCCACCTATATTGTGTGTACTAATCATAATGCCCCTTAATCCCCTTCTCCCTCCCCACTGACCCTCTCCAACCCCTCCCCTTTGATAAGCACTTGTCCCTTCTTGGGTTCTGTGAGTGTGCTGCTGTTTTGTTCCTTCAGTTTTGCACTGTTGTTATACTCCACAAATGAGGGAAATCATTTAATGCTTGTCTTTCTCTGCCTGGCTTATTTCACTGAGCATAATACCCTCCAGCTCCATCCATGTTGTTGCTAATGATAGGATTTGTTTTCTTTTTATGGATGAATAATATTCCATTGTTTATGTGTACCACATCTTCTTTATCCATTCATCTACTGATGGACACGTAGGTTGCTTCCACATCTTTGCTATTGTAAATAATGCAGTGATAAACATAGGGGTGTATATGTCTTTTTGAATCAGTGATTTGGTTTTCTTTGCAGAAATTCCTAGGAGTGGAATTCCTGGGTCAAACGGTATTTCTATTTTTAGTGTTTTGAGGAACCTCCATACTGCTTTCCACAATGGTTGAACTAATTTACATTCCCACCAGCAGTGCAGGAGGATTACCCTTCTCCACATCCTCAACAGCAGATGTTGTTTCTTGTCTGTTGGATGTTGGCCATCCTAACTGGTGGGAGGTGATATCTCATTGTGGTTTTAATTTGCATTCCCCTGATGATTAGTGATGTGGAGCATCTTGTCATGTGCTTCTTGGCCATTGGAATTTCTTCTTTGGAGAAGTGTCTGCTCACATCCTCTGCCCATTTTTTAGTTTGGGTTATTTGCTTTTTGGGTGTTGAGGCATGTGAGTTCTTTATATATTTTGGATGTTAACCCCTTATTGGATAAGTCATTTACAAATATATTCTCCAATATTGTAGGATGCCTTTTGTTCTGCTGATGGTGTCCTTTGCTGTGCAGAAGCTTTTTAGCTTGATGTAGAACCATTTGTTCATTTTTTATTTTGTTTCCCTTGTCCAAGGAGATGTGTTCAGAAAAAAGTTGCTTATGTTTATATTCCAGAGATTTTTGCCTATGTTTTTTCCTATGAGTTTTATGGTTTCATGGCCTACATTCAGGTCTTTGATCCATTTTGAGTTTACTTTTGTGTATGGAGTTAGACAATAATCCAGTTTCATTCTCTTGCATGTAGCTGTCCAATTTTGCCAACACCAGTTGTTGAAGAGGCTGTTATTTCCCCATTGTATATCAATGGCTCCTTTATTGTATATTAATTGACCACATATGCTTGGGTTTATATCTGGGCTCTCTATTCTGTTCCATTGATCTATGGGTCTGTTCTTGTGCCAGTACCAAATTGTTCTGATTACTATGGCTTTGTAGTAGAGCTTGAAGTCAGGGAGTAAATGCCCCCAACTTTGTTATTCCTTCTCAAGATTGCTTTGGCTGTTTGGGGCCTTTTGTGGTTCCATAGGAGTTTTAGAACTATTTGTTCCAGTTCATTGAAGAATGCTGTTGGTATTTTGATAGGGATTGCATTAAATCGGTAGATTGCTTTAGGCCAGATTGTCATTTTGACAATATTAATCCTTCCTATCCATGAGCCTGGGATACATTTCCATTTATTGGTGTCTTCTCTAATTTCTCTCATGAGTGTCTTGTAGTTTTCAGAGTATAGGTCTTTCATCTCCTTGGTTAGGTTTGTTCCTAGGTATTTTATTCTTTTTGATGCAATTGTAAATAGGATTGTTTTCCTGATTTATCTTTCTGCTAGTTCATCATTAGTATATAGGAATGCAACAGATTTCTATGTATTAATTTTGNGTTTAATTCTGTTAGTGTTTGTTGCACATATTTTTGGGCTCCTATATTGGCTGCATAGATAATTATAATGGTTATATCCTCTTGTTGGACTAACCCTATATCATTATGTAATGTCCTTCTTTCTTTCTTGTTACTTTCTTTGTTTTGAAGTCTATTTTATCAGCTACAAGTACTGCAACTCCTGCTTTTTTCTCCCTATTATTTGCAGGAAATATCTTTTTCCATCCCTTCACTTTTAGTCTGTGTATGTCTTTGGTTTTGACGTGAGTCTCTTGCAGGCAGCATATAGATGGGTCTTGTTTTTTTATCCATTCTGTAACTAATTCTGTGTCTTTTGATTGATGCATTCAGTCCATTTACATTTAGGGTGATTATCAATAGATTTGTACTTATTGCCATTGCAGGCTTTAGATTCGTGATTGCCAAAGGTTCAAGGGCAACTTCCTTACTATCTAACAGTCTGTCTTAATTCACTTATTCTGCTATTTAAAACACAGTCTAAAAGTTCTTTTCTTCCCCCTTCTTCTTCTTCCTCCTCCACTCATTATATATTAGGGGTCATATTCTGTACTCTTTGTTTATCCCTTGACTAACTTTGTGAGTAGCTGATTAAGTCTTATATTTGCTCAGTAATTAATTGGTCGGCTTCCTTTACTGTGGTGTTATTTTCTCCGGCGACGCCTGTTTAGCCTCAGGAGCACTTCCGTCTAGAGCAGTCCCTTTAAGATACACTGTAGAGATGGTTTGTGGGTGGTGCATTCCTTCAACTTTTGCCTCAACAATCTGGAAATTGTTTAATATCTGCTTCAAATTTAAATGATAATCTTGCAGGGTACAATATCCTTGGTTCCAGGCCCTTCTGCTTCATTGCATTAAATATATCACGCCACCCCTTTCTGGCCTGCAAGGTTTCTGCTGACAGCCTGATGGGCTTTCCCTTATACATGATCTTTTTCTCTCTCTGGCTGCTTTCAGTACTCTCTCCTTGTCCTTGATCTTTGCCATTTTAACTATTATATGTCTTGGTGTCGTCTTCCTAGGGTTCCTTGTGTTGGGAGATCTCTACACTTCCATGACCTGAGTGACTCTTTCTTTCCCCAGATTGGGAAAGTTTTCAACAATTATTTCCTCAAAGAGACTTTCTATCCCTTTGTCTCTGTCTTCTTCAGGAAACCCTATAATATAAATATTGTTCCATTTGGATTAGTCTCACACTTCTCTTATCATTCTTTCATTTCTAGAGATCCTTTTTTCTCTCTGTACCTCAGCTTCTCTGTATTCCTGCACTCCAATTTCTGTTTCGTTTACTGTCTCCTCTACCTCATCTAATCTACTTTTTAATCCCTCCATTATATGTTTCATTTCAGGTACTATATTCTTCAAAATGTATTTCTCTTTGTTGAAGTCCTCCCTGAGTTCTTGAATATTTTTCTGTAGCGCCATGAGCATGTTTATGAGTTTTATTTTGAAATCTTTATCAAGAAGAGTGGTGGTTTCATTTTCACTAAGCTCTCTTTCCTTTGCCACTTCATTTTTTTAGTGTTTCCTATGGAACAATGACTTTGTGTAGGCATGCTCTCTAGTGCCCAGAAGCTGCGCTCTCCGGGGCTGCTGTCCCCCTGCATCTCCGGTGGCGCTCGCAGGTGAGCAGAACCAGCACCTGCTGGGAGGGTTTCCTGCCTCCCTGGCTGTAACACCTGCCTCCACTTCCACGTCAGGGGTGGCAGGTGAGTGGGCCCAGCACCTGCTGGGAGGAAGGAGTGGCAGCCTGCATCCTTCTAACTGCCAGCCTTCCTTTTGTCCTAGGGGGACACTTGTGCGTACCTGTTCTCCGCAAGCATCTGGATTCTCAGTCTGTGAGTATTCCGCCCATCTTTGCTTTCCAAAGCTCCTAATCCCAGAGCACCGCGTAATGTGGGTTCGTGCTGCTGGAGCAGATCTCCAGGGCTGGGTGTTTAGCAGTCCTGGGCTTCTAGTCCCTCCCTGCTGCATTTCTCTTCCCCTCCCCTGGGGGCTGGGATGGGGGAAGGGCTTGGGCCCTGCCGGATCGTGGCTTTTCTACTTTACCCTTTTCTGTGAAGTCTTCTCTTTTCCTCAGATGTAGGCAGTCTGTTCTGCAGTCTTCAGGTTGTGTTTCCAGGATTAGTTGTATTTGCTGTAATTTTGTGTTTTATGTGATTTGGGGAGGAGGTTTCTGCTTCACTTCTCATGCCTTCATCTCCCCCCACCCCACCTTAAATACTTAATAACTTTGCATGCATTAAGGTTTAGTCTTTGTGCTTTGAAGGTCTTTGGGTTTTGACAAGGTTAGGATGTGTTGTATCCACCATTGCATTAGGATACAGGGCAGTCTCTGTACCCTAAAGTATCTCCTGTGATTCACATATTCAGCCCTCCCATGTCTGGAGCCCCTGGCAACCATTGCTATTTTTACCTTTTCTGTAGCTGTACCTTTTCCAATTGCCATATAATTGGAACCATATAGTGGGTAGCCTGTATAGACTGATTTCTTTCATTTAGCAATATGTATTCAAGAGTTGTCCATGTATTTATGGCTTGATAGTTGATTTTTTTTATCACTGAATAATATTCCATTGTATAGATGCACCACAGTTTGTTTATACTTTTACCTGCTGAAGGACATCTTGGTTGCTTACAGTTTTTGCAGTTATGAATAAAGGTGCTTAAACATTTGTGGGCAGGGTTTGTGTGGACATAAGTTTTCAAATAAGCTGGTCAATATCTTTTTAATGTGTTTTTAGGTTACTTGTAATTGTTGATTTCTCATCATCTAGCTTTTATATGGCTTCTCAAGTATGGCTGTTTAAACAATAATAACCACTTTCTCATAATAAATCTGTTCTGAATCAGGTACCATTTTCTATAAAAGTATGAACAATGAACTCATAAATATTTTATGGAATAACAGAACTTTAAATATGGGGCAATTTGGAAGTCTTTAAATTTAATATTCTTTGAAATACAAGCAGACCTCTCGTCTGCTGAGGCTATTTCTTTTACATCACAAATGGGAATGCTTATAAGTGTTGAATTAACTGCAACATTGTCCCTTTATTGCTCCCTCGCTAATAAGACATGTTAAAAATTACATATTTGGAAATCCAA